TTTTTCTTCATGTTCAATTAATTTTATCGTAATTTGGTGCAAGACGAGTGAAAGAATTAACAAAACCTATGGAAATGAGTCTGTATTAGCAAGGTTTGGCTGGCCCACAATTATGGCTTTCGGATTTTATAAGATATATGATTGGATCAGTATGTTTGTGTTTTTTTTTTTGGGTCTGAAGTATGTTTGTGTTTATCGGGCCATTTGCCGGTTCATCCGTGGGAGAGCTTATGATTTAGTATTTCAATTCTCAAATAAATGTAAAGAAATGGTGTGTTGAATTTAAGTAAAAATATTAATAAGCAATGTAATTGAAAACTCTACCTAAATTTGTTACCTTCTTAACAATGGGTTTGACCGTTCCCCTTCCTCCGTCGTCTTCATTTTATCTCAAGACGGCTTGCCTTGTCCTCCTGTGGCGGCGGGGTCTGAGATGGCTAGTTTGCGCTTCGGTCTTCGTTTCTTTGTTTGCCTGCCCTTGTCTTTGGTGTAGCTGGTGCCCTTGTTGTTTGGGCTTATTTCCTTACCTTTTGGTGGTAGCTGGTTGTTTGGGCTTGTTGTTTTGGGCTCAAAAAAATTTTTTTTTCCTTTTTTTTTTTTTTAAAAAAAAAAAAAAAAAAAAGGTTTGGCATTCACAGCTTTGTTTATTGTCGTCTTTCCTTTTTCACTAATAAAACTCGGTTACCTTGTTTTATGCAAGACCAAGGTTCATTTTACCTTTTTAAGTGTATTGGATGTTTTCTTTTGTTGATTAAAGAGGAGAGAGATGAGGAATAGGAAAATAGTTGTACTTGTAGTAAGCATGCTCTATCCATATATTGGAACCTGAAATTGGTTCTCTCTACCACCATTGTAATTTGTGGAGAAAGAAACCTCACTGTCTGAGTGTGATGGGCTATTGTTTTTGTTGCTTATATTGTTGCTTATATTGTTTTTGTTAAAGGAGAAAGTTTGAGTGTGATGGGCTATTGTTTTTGTTAAAGGAAAAAAATTGAGAGGGTTGAGTTTGAGTAGACTGAAGAAATTTGATTGTATTGGGTATTGGATAATTTTTGGTTTGGCAAAAAATGGATCCGCTGCCTACCCTACTCTTAGGGTAGGACGGCTCTTGGTGGGTTGGGTTTGAGTAGGCAGAAGAAATTTGACTGTATTGGGTATTGGGTAATTTTAAGTTTGGCAAAAAGTTGGCGGCTGCCTTCCCTGCCCTTAGGGTAGGACCACCCCTGATCTGACAGCTTTTTTTTGAGCTAGAGCCAGAGCCAGAGCCACCAATCAAAACTATATAAGTCTCGTCTTCATAAAATCCCACCTAACTAAACGAATCACAACTATAATTCTCGTCATCATAAAATCCCACCTAACTAAACTAATCACTCACAGAAGAAGTTGCGTGGTGACTCTGCGTCTTTAAATAGAGGTCTTTGTAATGAAACTCTCAAGCAAGTGTGAAACAAAAGATGGCTTCAGAAGTCAAAGTTGAAGTCATTCGCAAAGAAACAATTAAGCCATCCTCTCCAACTCCTCACCACCTTAGAACTTCCAGTCTCTCTGTTTTTGATCAGTTACAACCTGATATGTATATCACGTTACTTCTCTTCTACCCCAACAATATTAGTGATGATGTGGTCAACAACATTGATCACAATTCCTTGTTTGCTGAAAGATCTAAGCTTCTCAAAACATCATTATCTGAAGCTCTCACCCAATTCTACCCCTTTGCGGGGGAGTTCGAATATAATGTTTCAATCAGCTGCAATGACCATGGGGCTGGATTTATTGAATCCAAAGTCAACTGTCCCATACGGAAGGTTTTGGACAAACCCGATTTCGGGATCCTGGAACAGTTGATTCCAGTTGCAATAAAATCCAAAAGCGTTGAAGCAGGGCATCTTCTACTAGTCCAGGTCAACTTGTTTGAATGCGGTGGATTGACAATTGGGGTCAGCATTTCACATAAGGTCGCCGATGCCTCTACATTCAGCACATTCATCAAAAGCTGGGCTACAATTGCCCTTGGCTCAGCCAGTACTGCTAGTGATCAAGTTCTGCTTCCTGCTGAATTTGGTGTTGCAGCTACTCTATTCCCACCACAAGATGTCTTCAATTCACCCCAACCGATCGTGGAGTTGATTAGAGACAACTGTATAACCAAGAGGTTTGTGTTTGATGCCTCAAAAATTGCTGCTCTCAAGTCCAAAGCTGCCAGTGCCGCAGTGCCAAATCCTACGCGTGTTGAAGTAGTGTCTGCACTCATTTGGAAATGCGCGTTGCAAACATCGAGATCAAACTTGGGTTTTACAAAGCCATCCGCGTGGGTTCAAGTGGTGAACTTGAGGAAAAGATCAGGGCTTGCCATGGCAGAAAACATATTGGGGAACTTTGTTTCGTATTTTACAGCAATGACTATGGAAAGTGAAGCAGTGGAACTTGAAAGCTTGGTTCATAAGTTGAGGAAGGGCATTGACGAATATAAAGAAAAGTATGCTAATGGAGTTAGTGGTGAGGATGCATTTCAAATCATCGAAGGGCTTAAGAATCTCATAATGAAGGATAGCATTGAGACCTATGGTTGCACCAGTTGGTGCAGGTTTCCGTTCAACCAAGCCGATTTTGGTTGGGGAAAGCCATCATGGATGAATTTCTGTCGCAATGAATCCAAGAATACAACTATACTGACGGACATGAGTGATGGCGTTGGCATAGAAGCGTTTTTCAGTTTGGAAGAAGAACACATGGCCATATTTGAACGCAATGAGTACCTGCTTGCATATGCTTCTATGAATCCGAGTGTCGTTTAATTAGTACCCTCTTATGCTTCTTAGAGGGATATGCTGTTGTGGATCATTGATGATATCTCTCATAATCGTTTAGATGTTTGCACCATATTTGTGCTTCATCGCATTTTCCCTTATTGTTTCGTTGTTTATCATATGTTGTTTTCAATTCAATAATGCTATTTAGACACATAAGACTGACCACATTAGCTGGCCACATTTTGTGGCAGCTGACGTGGTCATGCCGTGTCAATTATAGCAGCTCAATATGATTATTCTTGAATTAACAAGATCGTCTCCAACTTAGTCTGTTCGCTGGTTTATATGTGCTTAGCTTTTTGACGAGTTCCTTGCATGTGTGCAATGTCGCTTTTCTCTTCTACTCCATGTTCTAGTTATGGTGCTCTCTAGTTTTTTCTTTTCGTCTCCAACAATGGAGGATGGGGATGGATACATTTGATGGAGGAAGAGAGATCTAGAAACATTAGGAAGAGTAGAGAACCAACGTGAGGCTACAGACCAGCGACGCTGCTAGGGTTACTTTATATTTGTCATTTTTTCAGGTTTGAAGGATTATTGAAAAAGAGAAATAAATAAAAATAGATTTCACATGGCAATATTAATTGACATGGTATGACCATATCAATTTGGTAGGTCATCAATTGACCTTCAAATCAGTCATAATTTTCTCATTGATAAATATCATTAATTCTGACTTATTGCTTTAATTACTTTCTTAATTTTTAGGGAAAAAATAGGCGGCAACAAATTTTTAGAGGGTCTTTTTTTTTAAATCAAATTTTTTTAGGGGTCGAATACATAAAAAAAAAAAAAAAAAAAAAAAAAAAAAAAAAAAAAGTAATATATAAATTTAAATTAATTAAAAAAATTAAGAGTTAATGTCCAACAATATTCTCAACAAAGAAGGATATAATAAAATTACAAAATAAAAAACAAAAAGAAAGCCTATTGGTACCCATTTGAGCTTGTGACAAGAGATTAGTAGTAGAATATAATCTAGTTCTCAATTAAAGAACAAGTTTATGTTGTGGTACCCATAATAAAACAAATTTTAGAGGGGACCAGCTTTTATTCAATGAGAAGTGACTATTATATAATTACATTGTGTAATCAAATCCTCAATTGGATATTCCAATAAGTTAGGTGGTTGTTGTTGTTTTTTATTTTATTATTATTATAGAAATTCTAGGATTGCATTTATAATTCAGTCAAAAAAGTCATTAGCCAAAGGGCCAATACAAACTAGCCACAAAATGGCCATTATAATAACATAGCAGTCTATCATCAAAATTAAGACAATCTGGTTCGCCTCCACTAATGATTACCCAGGATCGAAGAAACTTTGGTATAGGCATCCCAACTAAGATTGCAAACTCAGAATTTTTTTTTTAATTTAAAAAAAGGATAAAGCTTGAATAAACCAACTATAACAATACAAATAAAACTCTCACAAAAGGAGAGGTGAAAACTGCATAGAGAACCCAAGGAGTCTATGTGACTTATTTTGAACATAAAGAAACAACCAAAAGGATAGTGGTGGAGATTTGATACCGAAACGCAGGTGGATATTCGATGCCGAAATGCAAGTGGAGATCCGACGCTAAGACGCATCCGCCTGTGATGGTTGGAAGAAAATCATAACAAAATGAAGACAAATAGGGAAAACATTTTGTCTCTGAAAATGAGGGAAGAAGAGAAGGAGGAAGAGAAGAAGGGAGAGGGGAAGAAGAACAGTGGCTTTCCTCCCCCCTCAAAGTGAAAACGTGTCTAGGAGGGTTTTTTAGGAGTAATAAGTTATGTTTTGTTAAGAGGATGTCATATAAAATAAACTTTAATGTTCTCTTTGTCCACGTATTAATTTATTTAAGGAATGTCCATGATCCATATTCACAATTTCACAACATAAAGCATGTGTCAAAATTTATAAAAAAAAAAAAAAAAAAAAAAAAAAAAAAAAAAAAAAAAAAACCTATATATATATATATATATATATATAGTGACTATAATTTAAATATTGTTAAAATAGCATGTACATGTATAACTAAAATAATGGTGGAAAAGTATAAACTGGGTACAAAATAGTCCTTTCGAACGACCACTAGATGCCATCACAAATAGACATCCTTTTGCGAGAGCTACTGATTGCCCTCGGCAACAAATAATCATTTCTGACGACCTCTAATTCCTGTCAAAACTCCTTTGGAAATGGTTGTGGTTTTCCAACAATGTGAGGGTTGCATACAAGCATGGGATTTATTTTCCAGTAGTGCTCATAATATTCCAAAGGCTCAAGCTCAGGCTCATCATGTTCATGATGAAGATTCTAACCACAACCAGTCCCAGATGGAACAAGATTATCATACTAGAAGAGAATGTGGTCCACAATCTGCTGCTGAATAGAAGGCTTTCCACTTTTTTTTCCTTCCTCTCTCTTATATATATATATATATATATATATATATATATTGAAATTCCTTCTGCTGCTGCTGGTTTTCTCTTTGTTATGTGCTCGTTGTTGTATATGCTATGAGTTGTAAATTTTCTTATTTTCTTCTTTCCTTTTTCCTCTCCTTGTGTGTATTTGAGAGATAGAGAAAGAAATAGGCGACAATTGGAATGAAAATTTAAAAAAAGTCTTAGCGGTTGAGTCATGTGACCCCTTGACTTCAAATACAATGAGAAATGATAAAATCCTAATAATTGTTGTTTTTTTTTTTTTTTTTTTCCTTCACAAAGCGGTGTAAAATCCCAAAGAGAGAGATTCTCTAACCTTAGAAGGTAATATAAGAACTTGTGAGTATATAATAATATAATGGATTGAGGGATGGGCCAAATTGATCCTTGTTGATCTAGCTGTGAAGTTGAGCCTTTTCTTTTTTTTGGTCGAAGTGAAGTTGAGCCTTTAATTAACTTTTCATAAAACAGAAAAGCCACACCATACAATAACTTATGTTACCACCAAAACAGACCACCATGCAATAATTGAATAATATATGTTGCCAGAAGTTATGCACATTAGATTATTTTAGACGAACAATTACAAACCTCAAGTGGGATTTTCTTAGAAGCTGTTTTTCTATTTATTTTTTTCCCTTATAAAGCCGGCTCGGCTCTATGACCAATTCACGAGGAGCAAAATGGTCATGGGAATCAAGGTAGAAATCATTGAGAGGCAAACAATTAAACCATCCTCCCCAACTCCTCATTACTTGAGAAGTTTTAAGCTATCCATTTTTTATTAGATGGCTATTGTAGTTTACACCCCACTCCTCTTCCATCCCATTACTAGTTCTACCAGCAAAGTCAGCACTCTGCCAAGTTATGTTCGCACGCTGATCAAATAATGGAAACTGTCTAGAGGCACTATTCTAGTAATGAACAAGTTTAGGTAAAATTTCTTTATTAGTTTCAAGTTTCAACAACAAATTAGTATGGAATTACAACCAAATATGAAGACTTGTACAACTAATCCTCCTAATCCAAATGCAAATATGAAGGATCTGCATTCCTAAATAGGAAACTACTAAAACTGAACAATCAGAGCCCATCTCCAGCCCAGCAGTACTAGTTCTGCTTGCTACAAGTAGAAGAAGAGTCCTCCTCCTCCTCCTCCTCCTGAGTCGTCGGCAGTGGTGGCGGCCGCGGTTTAATTTAATTAATACAAGGTTCTTTTGCTCCTCCTCCTCCTGAGTTGTCAGCAGTACTAGGTTTTTCATTTAGAAAACCTAATCCTACTAGGAGTAGGAGAGTAGGACTAGTTTAATTTAATTAATAATTAAATCATATTCCTACTAAGACTAGTTAGTAGCTAGCAATCCTAATCCTATCCGGACTAATAATTATTTTAAATTATACTATGAATGAAAGCAAGGCAAAACTATAAAAAGAAAAGAGCCAAGAAAGAAGGCAGAAGCTATACAATGATATACAGGGCGATTTTAGACACCTTCTATCTGACCGATGAGCAATTGCACAACTCACCGTCGAGAAAGGACGGCATAGATGAGGCCACGGAGACCATGCTCAGAATCTATGGCTGTGAGTTAATCCAAGAAAGCGGAATTTTGCTCAAATTACCTCAAGCAGTTATGGCCACTGGTCAGGTTCTGTTTCACCGATTCTATTGTAAGAAGTCGTTTGCAGGCTTCGACGTCAAGAAAGTTGCTGCTAGCTGTTTGTGGCTTGCATCAAAACTGGAGGAGGAATGCCCTAAAAAAGCCAGGCAGGTTATCATTGTTTTCCACAGGATGGAATGTAGGAGGGAGAACAAGCTAGCCACTGAGCCTTTGGACTTGAATTCAAAGAAATATTCGGACTTGAAGACGGAGTTGAGTAGAGCAGAAAGACATATTTTAAAGGAGATGGGTTTCGTTTGTCATGTTGAGCATCCTCATAAGTTCATATCAAATTATCTTGCCACTCTGGGGACACCGACACCGCGGGAATTAACACAAGAAGCCTGGAATCTAGCAAATGACAGTTTGCGTACGACATTGTGTGTGCGATTCAAGAGTGAGGTTGTTGCTTGTGGTGTAGTTTACGCTGCTGCTCGGAGGTTTCGAGTTCCCCTTCCTGAGAATCCTCCATGGTGGAAGGCATTTGATGCTGAGAAATCAGGGATTGACCAAGTTTGTAGGGTGCTGGCTCATCTGTACAGCCTTCCTAAAGCAAACTACATACCAGTCTGTAAGGATGGAGGAGATTCTTCTTTTACCAACAAGTCATGGAATTCAATCTCTCAACCAATTCCAAAGGAAAATAGCCCATCAGCTATTGACGATAAAAGCAAGGAGAGGGAGAAGGAGAGAGACATAGGCAGATACAGAAGCATGACCGAAGTTATCGTTCCAAGGATTGAGCAGCAAAAGATTAGGGGGCATTTGGAGAAATCAAGACATCACAGAGATCGTGACTATCACAATTCCTCCTATTCTTCACGGGATGAGGACCGCCATAGACATCATTCTTACGCTTGAACTGATCATCAAGACATCTCTTTTTTTCTCAAAACTAGTCAGTCTTTTCATCGTTATATAAAATTGTAATATATTGCATGCAGTGGCAGATCTGCATTCCATCACGAAGTAATTAAGGGGCCTCATATTCTGGTACTTTAAGGTTTGTTCAGTTTTATTAGTTTCCTATTTAGGAATGCATATCATATTTGGATTAGGATTATTATAGTACAAGTTCATATTAATTTGGTTGTAATTACTAATTTGTTGAAAATTAATAAAGAAATTTTATCTTAACTTCTTCATTTTCATAGGACATGCAATCATTTGATAGTTTCCAATATTTTGATCAGCTTGCGAACATAACTTGGCATATATATGAAAATTTATTTTCATAGGACATGCAATTATTAGAAATAGTAATACTTGGTTTAGCAGTAACAAATGAAAGTAGTAACACTCAAGTGAAATTAGACGTGCATTGATTTTTCATTTGGTTGGTTGAACAAAAAAACAACAAAAAAAAAAAAAGAAAAAAAAAAAAAAATAATTTGTGTTTGACAGAAATTAGGGGAAGGTGTGAAGGGTTAATTGGCTTAGACTATGAATTTAATGAATAAGTGGGCCTTTTTTCAAGCTGAACTTTTCTTAATTTTGATCGAATAATTTGGCCTAACATAATTTTTATTTTTAAAATTTAAAATTTTATATATAGTGTCATACTAGATATATATAAAAACGGGAAGCCTATGAGTTTGGAGGCTTTAGGTTGCCGCCTTTGCTTACTTGTGCTCAGAGCCTCCCCTGATTATATAAATATATTTATATATTTTTTCTTTCTATTGTGAACTCTCTAGTAAGATAATATTTTCCTATATACATATGAAAATGAATTTTCATAGGACATGTAATTATTAGAAATAGTAATACCTGTTTTAGTAGTAACACTAGAGTGATATTAGACGTGCACGTGCATTGATTTTTCATTTGGGTTGGGTTGACAAAAAAGAAACCTGGCAAAATAAAATAAAATAAACTTGATCAGAGGAAAATAATTGTATGTTGTTTGGGGTAATGAAAGAGAGTTTCTAAATAACTCCCAACTTCCGCAACAAAAAAAAAAGTCCAACTTCGCTTGCGTAGTTATAAAGCAAATCTGCGTTTGGCGAGGGTGTGGCAAGTTAGGGTTAGAAAGTGCACTAGAATTAATTTAAATAAAATATTAGTTTTCCCAACGAGATTAGGAAACGGAAAACTATAAATACAGTTGTAGCCTCAGCCTTTTGTAAACACTAGCTACTGTGATTTAGGGTTTCCAAAATTCGCTATAATCTTTTCTCTTTCGAACGATCGAGAGACCCTTCACTTCACTAGCTACTTTCTCTTTCAGACAAGATGAAGTCTTCGAAGGAAGAGCAATGCGAGCGAGAGGCTCCTGTTGACGTTGACGTTGTCGACGATGACGACTTTGGTGGACTCGCTTGCCTTCCCCTCTACTGCCTTGAAAGTGAAACCACGACTTTCGATCCCTCCAACTTGTTCAACGACATCAAACTTGATGAGCGCAACTTGCCAATTCTCCAGAAGCCCAAGAAACCGCCATGTTACGGCAATTTCGGCAAGGGCAAGGATTTGGAGACCCTCCGCTTGATGCTAAGCGCACCACCTCCGTCTTCTTGTCAACAAAACCCTACGGGGCCAACAAAATCTGATGCTCATCGTCAACGGCAAGACTGGGATGATGAAGAGAAGTTGGAGAATAGCAAGCGAAAGCTTCACCAAGGCTATCAAGAGTTCCAAAACAAGAGAAAGAGAATTCAACTTCTTGACGTCAAAAACTTGCCTTTGCCGTCTAAGCCGCAGCCAGGCCGGGTTTTGAGCAAGACCAGTTCGAGCAAGTGCGGAGCATTCTCTGATTTTTCGGAGAGCCAACAAAACCCTAAGGGGCTCTCAAAATCCACTGATCATGATCTTCATCATCGGCAAGATTGGGATGATGAAGAGAAGTTGGAGACTAGTGTTCGAAAGCTTCACCAAGGCTATCAAGAGTTCCAAAACAAGCGAAAGAAAATTCAAGTTATCGACGTCAAGAACTTGCCTTTGCCGTCTAAGCCGGGACGAGGTCGGGTTTTGGCAAAGAACAAGTTTCTGACCAGCTCCAGGAAGTGCCGAGCCTTCTGATTTCTTGGAGAACACGTTTCTTATTGTCTAGTTTATTCTTTAATTGATATCAGATGTAAGTACATCGTTTTTGAACCACGAAATGATTATAAGTACATGGTTTTCTAGAACAATTTTAGTTTTTACCCTTTCAAATGTATGGCCTCCATATCGAATGAGTAAAAGGCCCAGGTGCAGGGTTTCGTTTTCTTCCATTTGCTTTGATTTTGCTCTGGTTTTTTTTTCTTTCCTTTTTTAAAAATAATAATCATTTTAACTATTGAG